GCCGGGCTGGGAGGACGATGGCTGGGCTGAAGCTGGGAGGGAGGCGCCCTCAGGCCTAGCCCAACCCACCGCCAGGCTTCGCCGACACCGGGGCCTACTGGCGCTCCTGGTACGATGCCCCCACCTTTGAGGAGGACCTGGAGCGCCTCTACCACCAGCTGGAGCCGCTCTACCTGCACCTCCACGCCTTCGTCCGGCGCGCGCTGCACCGCCACTATGGGGACAGATACATCAACCTCCGGGGACCCATCCCCGCCCACCTGCTGGGTAGGACCGGCCTCGCCTCCACGGGTCCCAAGGGGTGCATCTGGAGCGGGGACAGGAAGGGAAGGTTGGCTATCACCGTCACGGCTCAGGTCCCACTCAGAAGCCCGTCCGCCCCCGGCAGGACCCTGAGGCTTGGGGCCGTGGGGGCCTCGGCAGTCAGGGTGCTGGGTGCAGGCCGAAGGCTCCAGCCCAGGTACCACGGGAGGGACGCCCTCCCGGTCCACTGCAGGCCCTTGGTCTCAAGGATGGGGGCCCGGGACCCCACACAAACACAGGGGACCACAGCAGTGCCACCTGGGCCCAGGCGTGCCCTCCACCCACCCCAGGCACATGGCACCCAGAAGAGAGTGGGTGGCACCAAGGCGTGAGTCCTGTCCCAAGCCAGGCCTGCTGCCCTCCGGGGCCCTGCGGTCCAGGTGCCCTCAGGGCCACGCATGGGGTCGCAGGGCGCCCAGCGGACCCACTCCCTGCCCCCATCCAGGGAACATGTGGGCCCAGAGCTGGGACGGCATCTATGACATGGTGGTGCCGTTCCCCGACAAGCCTAATCTCGACGTCACCGGGACCATGGTGCAGAAGGTGAGCCTGGGGTCCGGGGGGCAGAAGGAGGGAGCTGGATGGGGAGAGGGCAGGGAGGGCTAGGAGGGAGACAGGCTTGGGCAGGAGCAGCAGCCTGGGAAGCGGCGTGGGCCCTGCGTCCTCGGCCCCTCGGGGTGGGGAGCACGCAGTCCACCTTCCCCATCTCTGTGGTCCGTGAGGGCCCCGAGAGGGAGGCCAAGGCAGAGGCCCTGACCTGCCCGCCTCTCCAGGGCTGGAACAGCACACACATGTTCCGGGTGGCAGAGGAGTTCTTCACCTCGCTGGGGCTCTTGCCCATGCCCCCTGAGTTCTGGGCCGAGTCCATGCTGGAGAAGCCCACTGACGGGCGGGAGGTGGTGTGCCACGCCTCGGCCTGGGACTTCTACAACAGGAAAGACTTCAGGTCTGGCCACGGGAGGTGCAGGCTCCAGGGCCCCGGGCCGCCGGGCACACACAGGGAAGCCAGGCCTGCGGGGCCTGCAGGGCCCATCAGGCCGCCTCCCCTGGCAGCCGGCTCGGCTCTGTTTCTAGGGATGTGGGAAGAAGGCCTGAGGCGGGGGTGG